TAAGCAATACAGGGTCCTATATAATGGTAATTGAACTGAGTGGAGTGCAATTTGGTCTAAAATCATGCACGTGGTTTGAAAATCGCGCGAGTTCGATTTGAAATCACAAGTACGTGTATGATTTCACACTAAGTTATTACATCCATTTTGAAATCATGCAATTTAATTGCCCAAATACAGCTTTTTAGTCAGTAATAATATTTTCCGACGACAGTGACTGCTGTTTTGGTGTATTTCGATTCTCGTAGAGTGATACTTCTGCCACATTTAAAAGTAGTGTCATATCTCCTGGAATAGGAGTAGCGCCAGTCCCCTAAGGCATACTTCAAACACTGTACTTTACATGAAAGGCCGAGACGCGCCTTTGAAATGGGCCTAAGAGGTCCAAATTAATATACCCGCTTTCCTCGAAAGCGCTGAAGACATGTGTACCCTATAACCTTGTCCACTTCTTGCCCACGTAAATTTTCATTGGGTTCAATACATACACTGGACACTTTGCCGTGTTCCTATAAACATGTACTTTATTCTAACGCAAGTTCAATCAAAGGTTGCTGCACAAAGCATTTTTTACGCCCACCGAGGTCTTGAATTAAAACTTTGGCAAGCCATAAATCCTGGTCAATAGCTCCGTAAGTAAGGCTTGTGTGATCAATGAGACTGAGTACATTCTCGAAGAGTGTGAAATTCAAGAAACCCAAATAAAGAATTTTCTTATCAAGCAAATCTTATTTTTAAAATTTTCCTTTGGTCAATGATAGTTCTTCTTTCAAGATTTTTGTCTTAAGAAAATTTGAGGCCGAAGGAAAAAAAAAATTGCTTCGGCCTTAATTGAACATGTACATTTAACATGATTAGGCATTTTTACGGTTATATGTGTTTCAAACATTTTTCATATTTATAATGACAGTCCTTAGCGTATGTCATTCTGTTGTCACGTCAAAACAAGCCACAACCACGCAGTTCTTCAAAATAATATGCTACTCCCCAAAAAGCTCGGTGGAATGCTCTGGCTTTCACCAAAAACGTTCGCCTGGTCCTAAATTGAGATAATAATCAGAAAAATCAGTCTAACAAAACTAAAAGGAAGTTTTGGATGCCAGATAGTGATTGGCTTCGTCTATTTAATGTTGATTAGGTTTATGACTCCGCAAAACACAGTTCTACTTGTTTTTTAAACAAGGCTGTCATAACGGATGCGTCGTGATCGTGAGCCGCTATGGCTCTCTTGATCTGTTCATGTCACATAGGTCTAAGCAGTAAAGGCCGAGGATCAAGGGTGCAATTGGTAGATTTTATAAAATTGTAGTAGGCTAGTAATGATGTACTACTCATTTCTTCCCTGTTTTCATGAAACAATTTGAAAAGTTCTTCTACTACAAAGAACTCCTCCTTCGTCAAAGCTCCCTATCGTAGCGGTTCTCCTTTTTCATTAAGATATACTTTTGACTTAAGTTTGATCGAGTTTTGAATATCAAACTTTCGTCGTTTCCGTGGTGCGCACTCCCCCTCGGCATTACCAGCTTGACTTTGCCCAAATGGATTTGAACATCCTTTGCATTTGCAATTTCCATCGCAACTAACTCGAGCCTTAAGACACTTACACCTGCTAGAGTGTGAGCCAATGACGTTGTTGCAAACATTCGACACTTTCTCTTGACCTTTCCTACTGGCACCACAAGAACAGGAAACTTGGGGTCGTTTCTTTTCGTTTACTTGTTCTTCTTGTTGTTTTTCTAACACCATCGGCACAGTCTCCGTATGGACGTAATCGTAGTGCCCACAACCAGCGGCATTAAATGAGACAAACAACGTAGGCATGTCATTGAGTTGTCCACGCGGCAGAATTGGTATAGTGGGATAGTTTTCCAACGATGAAAAAATTACAATGGGCATTTTTAGAACGTTGGCCATTGCTAAGACCATGAGATTTCCTAGCTCACCAGTAAAATACCCCTTGTGGGTAAACCGCTTAACTTCCTCGTCAAAGTTGTCAGTTGTCAGGAAGTAATAACGAGCGGTTCAGATAGCTTACCGTCAACACATACCTTTTGATACCCTCCGTTGAGGTAACTTTGGAACCATTTGAGGGAGTTAGTGTTCAAGCCATATACCTGAAGTTTCTTGAGCAGCAGTTTATTGTTTACAAAGTCGAAAGCTTTGCGCAGGTCGATCATAACAACACCAGTAAACAGGGGCACCCAACGACTTTTCCTCCTACATACATTGAAAACACTTTTTAGGCTATCCAGAGTACTTTTAGATCTCTAGAAATGCATTCTAAGTGGCGCTATAAAAATTTTGTCTGTTTGGTTATCCTAGGGTAACTTGAGTCTGTTCGAAATGATTAAGGCTTCAGTTTTTTTTTGGCCGAAAATTTCAGATACAATTTAACGTTTTACGAAAGTGAGAATTTTTCTAGTTATTCCTCTCTACTTCGCATTTTTGAATCAGAAAATTTTAGGTTTCCTTTTTACTACGAAAAATAGCCAAACCTGGGGAGTAGAATGTGAAAAATTTAACTTGAGAAAATCGTAGCGGATTTATTGGAAAAGCTTTGAAACTTGAACATGGATGGAACGGTCATCTAGAAATTTCTAGCCTTCCTCGAATAATAGAAAATTCTAGGCAATATTTGCTTTTCCGCACAGATATTTTACAGAAAGCAGTCGTTGGGTGCCCCTGAGTAAAGAGGCCTTTATCCATTGCTTCTAGCCATTCATCTGTAATTTTCATGAGGATGGTTTCGCAGGAGTGGTTAGCTCTAAAACCCGATTGGCGTTTGTACAGTAAATCGTGATTAGTGAGAAAAGCAATAAAGTGTTTGCAGACATGTTTCTCGAGAATCTTCGAAATGACAGGGTGGACTGATATAGGTCTGTAATTGTCAAGATCGGTTTTACTCCCCTGTTTGTAAATCGGATTGGAGTGACACGAGCCAGTTTGAGTTGAGCTGGACAGATGCTGTTAATTATGCTGCAGTTTATTACTTTTGCTAGACTTGGAGCAACTGCAGGGGCGATTAATTTTAATTAAGGGGAGCTGATTCCATCAAGTCCAGTTGCAACATTTGATGGGAGTGGTTTTATGTTTTCTAAAAGTTCGCGTTCTGAAATTAAGGGTATACTGAAATCAGCGGAGTTGCCAGCTTTTTTACGATTTACGAAATCCACCAAACTAGTTAGATCGGGTTCAGTATTGATGGTGTTATCAATGTAGTTATCAGCAATATAGATAAAATGCTCATTGAATATTTCTGGGGTAGAATAGCTGGTTCCGTCTTTGGTTAGAGAGTTTATTCGACTCATCTGTTTCGCTTTGGTAGGAAAAATGCTCTTCAAGGTCTTCCATAGGACGCTGGAGTTCAATTTGCTGTTGTCTATTTCATTAATAACCGCTTCTTTTTTGGCTTTTTCAATAAGTCTTACTACTTTGTTTCTAGCAATATTAAAAGACACTCTTTGGATTCGCCATTTTTCCGGAACTCTTTCTTGAGCCGATCGCGCTCTTTGATCGCTGTGAGAATTTCATAAGGGACAGAGTCTTATAATGTCTGGCGTCGGTGGCCATCTCTGACACACTAACATGAACATTAAGCAATACAGGGTCCTATATAATGGTAATTGAACTGAGTGGAGTGCAATTTGGTCTAAAATCATGCACGTGGTTTGAAAATCGCGCGAGTTCGATTTGAAATCACAAGTACGTGTATGATTTCACACTAAGTTATTACATCCATTTTGAAATCATGCAATTTAATTGCCCAAATACAGCTTTTTAGTCAGTAATAATATTTTCCGACGACAGTGACTGCTGTTTTGGTGTATTTCGATTCTCGTAGAGTGATACTTCTGCCACATTTAAAAGTAGTGTCATATCTCCTGGAATAGGAGTAGCGCCAGTCCCCTAAGGCATACTTCAAACACTGTACTTTACATGAAAGGCCGAGACGCGCCTTTGAAATGGGCCTAAGAGGTCCAAATTAATATACCCGCTTTCCTCGAAAGCGCTGAAGACATGTGTACCCTATAACCTTGTCCACTTCTTGCCCACGTAAATTTTCATTGGGTTCAATACATACACTGGACACTTTGCCGTGTTCCTATAAACATGTACTTTATTCTAACGCAAGTTCAATCAAAGGTTGCTGCACAAAGCATTTTTTACGCCCACCGAGGTCTTGAATTAAAACTTTGGCAAGCCATAAATCCTGGTCAATAGCTCCGTAAGTAAGGCTTGTGTGATCAATGAGACTGAGTACATTCTCGAAGAGTGTGAAATTCAAGAAACCCAAATAAAGAATTTTCTTATCAAGCAAATCTTATTTTTAAAATTTTCCTTTGGTCAATGATAGTTCTTCTTTCAAGATTTTTGTCTTAAGAAAATTTGAGGCCGAAGGAAAAAAAAAATTGCTTCGGCCTTAATTGAACATGTACATTTAACATGATTAGGCATTTTTACGGTTATATGTGTTTCAAACATTTTTCATATTTATAATGACAGTCCTTAGCGTATGTCATTCTGTTGTCACGTCAAAACAAGCCACAACCACGCAGTTCTTCAAAATAATATGCTACTCCCCAAAAAGCTCGGTGGAATGCTCTGGCTTTCACCAAAAACGTTCGCCTGGTCCTAAATTGAGATAATAATCAGAAAAATCAGTCTAACAAAACTAAAAGGAAGTTATGGATGCCAGATAGTGATTGGCTTCGTCTATTTAATGTTGATTAGGTTTATGACTCCGCAAAACACAGTTCTACTTGTTTTTTAAACAAGGCTGTCATAACGGATGCGTCGTGATCGTGAGCCGCTATGGCTCTCTTGATCTGTTCATGTCACATAGGTCTAAGCAGTAAAGGCCGAGGATCAAGGGTGCAATTGGTAGATTTTATAAAATTGTAGTAGGCTAGTAATGATGTACTACTCATTTCTTCCCTGTTTTCATGAAACAATTTGAAAAGTTCTTCTACTACAAAGAACTCCTCCTTCGTCAAAGCTCCCTATCGTAGCGGTTCTCCTTTTTCATTAAGATATACTTTTGACTTAAGTTTGATCGAGTTTTGAATATCAAACTTTCGTCGTTTCCGTGGTGCGCACTCCCCCTCGGCATTACCAGCTTGACTTTGCCCAAATGGATTTGAACATCCTTTGCATTTGCAATTTCCATCGCAACTAACTCGAGCCTTAAGACACTTACACCTGCTAGAGTGTGAGCCAATGACGTTGTTGCAAACATTCGACACTTTCTCTTGACCTTTCCTACTGGCACCACAAGAACAGGAAACTTGGGGTCGTTTCTTTTCGTTTACTTGTTCTTCTTGTTGTTTTTCTAACACCATCGGCACAGTCTCCGTATGGACGTAATCGTAGTGCCCACAACCAGCGGCATTAAATGAGACAAACAACGTAGGCATGTCATTGAGTTGTCCACGCGGCAGAATTGGTATAGTGGGATAGTTTTCCAACGATGAAAAAATTACAATGGGCATTTTTAGAACGTTGGCCATTGCTAAGACCATGAGATTTCCTAGCTCACCAGTAAAATACCCCTTGTGGGTAAACCGCTTAACTTCCTCGTCAAAGTTGTCAGTTGTCAGGAAGTTTTCGTAGTGTGGCCTGTTCTCTCCTGACCACTCTGAAACGGTCAGCACCCTTAAACTGTCGCTCAAGCTTTTCTCGTCTAAATTAACAAGACCAAGATTAGCCAGATGCTCATACGCTTGAGAACTTAATCCTTCTGTTTCTGTTAATTTGAAAACGTTCCTTGCCACTGCTCTAAAACAACAATCTCCGTCCTTAGCAATATGTTCCCTGGACATTGACCAGCTCTTTAAAATGTTGTCTATACGTTTATCGTGTTCATCGGTGTCTCTGTTCATGCTGAAATGACTGTTATAAAACAAAGTATATAAATAGGGAAAGTGACGATGTGATATTTCTGTGCCTGATTCGCTGAGATTTACTAGGCTTTGGAACGATGCCAAACTCAGTTGCGCTCTGTCTAGAATATTGATTGCAGAAGAATAGTTCAAAGAGAATTTACCATGACTATCATCATCGTGAGTTTTCGCTGTCAATTCCGTTGTCTCAGTTACTTCATCTGCGTCAGAAGATACCAACCCTATTCCAAATACTTCCTTGGATGTTTCGCAAAGCCTTGTTTCGGATTGATCATATTCAGTTAGCTTGCTTCTTTCGTCACGTACACAGGTTTCCTCTGGCAATTCACAAGTTGACTTTTCCCCTTTGTTGTTTATGCGATCGAATATGATCATTAGCAAGGCATATGCGAGACGTACTCCCACTTTACTACCACTAAGAAGATCACCTATCCACCTATGTAGTGCTTCATTTCTGTTAGTTCCTCTTCCCGGCGCGATTCCTGGTTAAACAAGCAATAAGCGGAGAACATGTTACTGGGAAAAGAGTTTACACTGGCAGAGCTAATGGACTCGAAAAAAATTTTTATGAGACCGGGCCCCACCATTATCTCGGTCTGGATCCGCCAGAAGGACTTAATAACCTTTTCCATATAAGCTTTCAAGAAGGTATAAAAACTGCTCCAACAAAGCAAATTTAACTCCAGAAAAGAAATAATGACTCGGAGGAGTCAATGTTCAGTGGATTGACGAAGCCGTTATTTTAAATCCAAATAAGAGTTACTGAATTAACTCCCTCTCGGATTTCAGTAAATCCGAGAAGAGGTTAATTATACTCTGAGATAAGTATTACTACTCTCGTTTGGAAAGTTTTTTGTATAGGAGTTATTCGAACCCTGGTAGAAGAGTTAATGTAATCAATTATAAGCAAAGGCAACTTTTCCCATAGCCCTAGCACTCCATTAGTGAGTGAATTACCTTGAAAAATTGATTTTTGTGCTAGCAATCCATACGTGAAAATTTTAGTAGGTAAAAAAACCTATCTGACAGCTAGATGCAACCTCGAGAATCGCTTTTTAAGTAATAACACCCGGTACCAGCATAACACTAGCGCTCGGTCAGTAAGGGATTAGTGATTCCACCAAATATATTTTCACTCGCTTTCGGTGTTGTTTTACATGAGCTACTGTAACCCTGGTAGGCGATTTAATAAAACTGCCTATAGTGTGCTGAAAACCCTGGTAGATGCCGGTTCTCCAAACCTTGAAGCTATTTACGACCCCCAAAAAGTGCCGCCTTACTACCCATTTTAAGACCTGGCATCTAAAATCCATACACTTTTTAAGTCAACATCACTTCATGTTACAAACGGGAGTGAACACCAACTTAAGAATGGGTCAGATTCACCTTGAGTGATAATATCTTGGTTTCCTATCTCATTCTGTCGTTCATAATTGGTCGAAAACTATACCCGTTTGAAAGACTACAACGGCCAAGAAACCAAACCCTTTGGGACGGCACATACCTAAAACGCTTATATAGGACATATAGGGAATTACCCCCGGGTATCCTGCAAACCTTAAATTTTTTTAAAAGCACATTGAGATAATGTTGAAAATAACATACACAAACGGCTAACATTGTTTCAACACACCCGTTCGTTACATCTTTCCGTATTACATTGGAATAGATGCCGGGGGCTTACATAAAGGTTAAATGTTTACATCATTGCGAAACATACAGAATTGTTTGAAATTCTTTTTGTTTTAGCTGCCCAAAAAATACCTAACCCAAATTATGAGTTCTCGAAAACACTCTTGTAAAATATTTCAAATTCAGTACCACTCAAGACAATTATTTGAACTCCGAATCCTGTAATCGGAATTGAGGAAATGTAACTTAAATGTAAAAAAAAGTGTTGCCTCGGATTTACGTTGATATCGACAAACCTCCGCATTAGTTTCCAATCTTCAATATATTCCCTGCAAATGATTTCCATTCCTGTGGTTAAATTTAGTGCTTCGTTTGATGCGCGTTTGTGTGTATGTCGTGTTCAAAGATAGTGGGTACGATTTCAATAAAATCCCGCGTTCAAGAACCTAGAATTTAAGAACGTATTAGGCTAAAACTGTCGATTTAGACCCCCTTTACACAAGAACCTGTATAGGCTAGAATTTCAGAGTACATTCTTATGTTATCAGTAGATTCAAAACTACAATTTAAAAATCAAAGAAAATAGGTGTAAAGTGCATATTCTGTCTTTTTGGAGAAAATTGTGCATAATTGATATAAACGGATATATCACACCTACGGAAAATGAGTCTCTCTTTTCTTTAGAAAAAAAGAACCTATTTCAGCACCTGTTTAGCCTAATTTCCTTGCTTGTAAGCACCATTTACATTAGAACCTGTTTAGACTGTTTATGCTGACTTGGAAAAATCTAGGTTCTTGTACTCGGGGTTTTACTAAACTGTATAATCGGATTGGGCTGCCATAAACAGTTTTCTGTGCCACAACTTACCCGACAAACAGCCTTTCCTCATGTGCTCCTCGATTTTTCGCACTTTTTTTACAGCTTCCTCTGATAATACTGGCTTGCCTTTGTCGCTTTCAACGTTTTCCCACTTCTTCAAGAACATGTCGGCATTTTTTAAAAGAGTGTTTGGATCTGGAGTTTCTTTTGCACGCGTTTTCCCGACGTCAGAGGGATCTCTAAACATCAACCGTAGATCTTGTAAGCATTTACTATAGAAGGGGTGGCGCTTTGAAATTTTGGAACTTATTCGCTGAAATGCGTGGAAAATATCAAGTTTTACAGCCAGATCCGGGCCGAAAACCTCTTGTAACTTTTTTCTCCAATGGCAGCAGTTATCGATGTAAAATTCCTTAATACTTTTGTCTTTGCTGGACAATCTCTGAAAGAGTTGTTGCAGTAGGCCACGGACTTTTTCAAATCCTTGAGTCTGAGTTAGTTGCCAAACTGCAATTTGCCCTCGTTCGTTCATCACACAGAACAGCGAATCGTACTGTCGAATCCACTTTCTATCTTCTGTTCTCTCATATCCTATACTGCTAGTTATATCGAAGGTATGGTCGCAGGAAAGCCATTCCGCGTCGGCTGAAATCGATGTCATTCTTCTGACAAACAAATCTTCATTCAAATCAAAGTAGTGAAGGAAAATTTCAGAAATGGTATTTCTACTGGGACATTCCCGCTGCTGGTTGAACTCAGGGAAAGAAGAATTTATTATGATTGGATGGCTGGCACTGTAAAGTTTCAAGTCTTCTAAAAACTTACTTTCAAGTTTCAAGTGACGCATATGTATTCGCTCGAGCAAAATGTCGTTAATTTGCGAAAATGACAGTCCATTTCGCACCATTGACACAATCATATCGAGAAGCTCTCTTGTTACTCCAGTTTTGTGTGAAAGTAAGAAAGGTATTCTTCCCTGACTATTAATCATGGCTAATATGGCAGGATCGTGGCCACTAAGTTCATGTCCGGCAGAACATCTATACACGCGACTTATGAGCAGAACCCTTCCAGACATACCGTAAATTTGCCTTGGCATTTGACGACGTAGCCGACCATCCTTCCAGCCAATGGGTTTTAAAGAGATAACTTTGCCATCTTCATTGCAGATGGGACACACAAATTCGGGTTGAAAAAAGTGCGGCAGCTGTTGGTGCGGCTCCCATAATATAGCATTTGGAAGTACATAGGAATGTGGCTCAGGAAAGCCATTCTGTGGTCCAGTCAGCCGTTGTTCTACAGGATCATTGTTGTAAGTGGCATGCCTTTGAAGAAGTCGTTGAATAGCTTGTTTTAAAGCCAAATGGAAATCTTCATCTCCCATTGGAGAACACTCCTCGAAGAAGACGCATAGCAAAATCATAGAGAGACCGCCCTTGAAAAGTGGATGTGCCATTGGCGGTCTCCTCTTATTAAAATTGGGACGAAGAGTTTGTTCTTAAAAGAACAGTTGACAAACAGTAGAAGACTTCACACAGCAAAAAAGGCTCCCCAAACGGACAGGGCTTCGCCGGGATGAGAAGATTTGGAGTGGCGAACCTGGAAAAAACGGAGTTTATATAGACCCGTCTCATTAATATGCGGATCGAAACGCACCAATGAAAAAGCAGCTCAAAAACTACCCTTTTTCTTACGCGGTAGGAGGATTGTGTTTTTTTTTCTGGAAATAAACTGCACTGGAGTCCACAAGGTTTGTCCTTTTAAGGAAAGAAAGGTATCAACATGTTGCCCTCGATGTGTTCTTCCTGACTATATACTTTGTTGGTCAATATGTCTAAACAACAACAAGTTATTGACAGTAAACAACAAAAAAACAACAGTCGGATCGAAATTTACAAAGATTTGTATGGGAAACGTTTCCTTGTATAACTCCACCAGTTTTCAATATGGAGTCGTGAAACTTTGTGGTTGACATGTTGACAATGTGTGCAACATGGTGAAAGCTCGTTTTTTGCGTTTGCGCATGCCTGAAGGAATTGCCTTTTAAGGGTGCAGGATCACTAAGGTGACTGTTGCTAAGGTCCATCCAAAGACTTCTATGGTACTTGGACATGGGAAATGGCGTGGTAAGTTGTAGTAACCGCCACCCACTGCATTGCGGCGTCAATGACGTAGAATAAGACATTAACAACTACGCAGGCGCAACAAGGAATGTGCGAATACCTTGGAAACGTTTCAGCCAAGCTTGCTGAGGTTTGGCAACAAGTATCGGCATAGTAGACACCCCCCGCTTCTGCAATTTCAAGTCCATGGAGTGAAATCCGGGGGTACAGGCAATGATACAAGTTCATTTAAGGTCATTCCCCTGAATTGCATTGCGCATCTCTACTGCGCATAATATTACAACACTGGTCACGCAATCTTTCAAGATGGCTACCGTCGGCGTCGGCACCAAGTCAAGAGAGATAAAAAAGGTTTTTTTTGTAAGTTCAAGAGAAAAGGGAAGACGAGAAAAGTTAAAAAATATTTGGAAAAGAAAGTGTTGTAATGTGGAAGGTGATGGAGGCGTTAGCACAAAAAAGAAATCCATCGAAGCCGGCAGCTGCAACTTTCGAGGAAGACGAGTAATCGAGTTAGACGTTCTGGCCAGAGCCCTGGATAGTTGTTGCAGTGCGTGTGGAAAAGCACTTCAGCTATCAAACTGCCAAGATGAGACTATCTCTGGGTTGGGTAGTTTTTTGTATATTATGTGCAGCGATCCGGAATGTGGAGAGGTAAATGTGTGCACCACAAACAAATCGCATCGTGCCGCCGGTGCTGGTCGCGGGCGACCAGTTTTTGATGTCAACACCAAACTTGCCGCAGGTAGGTATATTTTACTTGATTAGCAGCTTTTATCTGAACATTTTTCCAAGCTTCATCAAAATTTAACAATCATAATACCGTGTAATAACTAACTTTTAAATGTACATGTACTGTGTTTATACGCAGGAATGTTACACGCCGGTATCGGGGTAACACATGTAAACGCACTTCTCACGTCGATAAACCTTCCAGCCGTGGGACAAAACACTCTGAAGGCCAGAGAAAGAGAAGTTGGACCAGCGATTGAGGCTGTTGCAAGGAATTCATGTTTAGAAGGGTTACAGTTGGAGAAAGAGTGTCGGAGGACCGGGGACACAGAGCAAGTTGTAAAAATCGGGGTATCGTACGACATGGGCTGGCAGAAGAGGGGAAAGGGCCACAATAGTTTGACAGGTCAGTCCTATAATGTACATAAAGCCATGAAATAATGGAGGTATTTTTGCTTTGCCTGCGTGGCATCCATATCAGTAACAAGTGTCTGTTTATTCGTTATAAAATACAGTATAAACAAATTCACAACAATTTTTTCTTTTGCTTAAATAATAACAATAATAATAAGATAATGAAATAGCAGGTCTAGAAGTAAAACTCAATAGACCACAAAATTTCCATCCAACAGCAGTCAGGCAATTTAACATTTGATTTCCTCCAACAATAATATTATTATTAAAACCGAATATTGGAAGCAGGGTGCTTGTTCAAATCATCCCCAAAGACAGTGAATGAGCTAATTACTAGCATTATTAATACAACAATGAGTCATTCATTTAATTTCTAGAGGTATTGACTTTTTGACTAAAGTAAATAAAACAAGACTATTTTTCTTTCCTAGGAGTTGGGTCTATGATTGGGCTATCTTCAGGCAAGGTGGTGGGCTACAGCACAAGGACAAAGAGATGTGCATTATGTGAGGCAGCTAAGAGAAATGGCAAGGAACCGAGGTCACATGACTGTCGGATGAACTGGACAGCATCCTCCAAGTCCATGGAGCCCGATGTTGCTGTGGAGTTGGTAAAGGGGGCCATTAGTGCGGGTGCTCAAGTGTCAGTTATGGTTGGGAATGAAGACTCGGCCACAATCAAGAAAGTGAGGGAAAGTGTCACACATGAAGTTGACAAATGGTCAGATATTACTCATGCAAAACGGTCATTTGGATCCCATCTCTATAGCCTGCAACCACAGCATAAAGGAATCCTTAGTACTAAAGTAATTAACCACTTCTTGAAATGTTTTCGGTATGCGCTAAGCCAAAACAAAGACAATGTTGACAGTCTGGAGAAAAATCTGAAAGCCATTGTCCCTCATGCATTTGGCAAACATAATAAATGTGACAGTTCTTGGTGTGGGTTTCTGAAGAGCCCCACAACCTACAAACACAAGAGCCTCCCACTTGGCAAAGATTTAAAAGGTGAGAAACTAGAGGAAGATCTTAATGCTGTTGTGGACATCTTTGTCCAGAATTCGGAGAAGCTTGCCCCTCTTGGTTCAAGTCAGTCGAATGAAGCCCTCAACAATACCATTGGCAGCAAAGCTCCAAAAATTCGACACTACGGTGGCAGTGAAAGTAACGATTTTAGAGTGGCCTGTGCTGTCAGCCAGAAGAATGTGGGTTATTCTTATGTGGCAAAGGTTAGCATTAGCTTTAGGTGACCACACATCTGCTACTACATTAAAGAGAATAATATCATAGCTTACAGTGCAACTACTCTACAAACAATAGGCTGCCTACACAAAAAGAATGGACAATTTTCTATGTTCAGAAAAAAAGATATATAGGCAACATTAAAGCCAATACTCATTTTTTCATTTAAATTATGGTAACCATGGTAACGAATTTAGGGTAGTGCTTCCTCAACGTATGTGTTTTCGTACCAAAAGCCTTTTGAAAGTGTTACTCTTGTCGAACTCTAAATATGTATAACCTTATTTCGCACAATCAGTAGTATTCTGAGTGTTATTAGGCCTAATTATTTATATAGTCCATTGTGCAAGGCAGCGAACCGGAAGTGTCGAAAATTGCCTCAAAGGGGGTATGTTTGAGCCCTCGCAGCTCGTAAACGAATACCGGCACCCCCTTTTTTATTTTGATTTCGAAGTCCTAGTATGATGAATATTTAATAGACAAAATTTGAGAAAAAATCTATGTTAAGTTCTATTTCAGGGGAATGACGTTAAGGGGGCTCTCAACCAAGGTAAAGGTTGCTAACACCCGCAAATAGCACCAGTTACCCCCGAATGAGTCTCCGTGGTGTGGAGATGGTGGGAACATAGAGTACAACATGACAGAAGTGCCGTTAACGCAGGAGAACGTGTAAACAAGGAATTGGCCATTACGCATGCGCACAGACTAAACTGCCTGTAACTTGAAAGCGTTTCAACCAAGCTTTTCCAAATTTGGCACCAAGTATCAGCATGACGCTGACTCTCTATTTCTGCAATTGGAACGCGCGAGAGTGAAACCCAGAGGTACAGGCAATGATACAAGTCATTTTAAGGGGGCTCTCACCCAACGTGAACGTTGCTAAGAACCAAATATAGGTGCACTTAGCGCCCAAAACGTCCCTGTTGTGGTAATATTGTCTTGGGAGCAATACTAAGATGGGACAACTGCAGGGGCACTTCAAGGGACCTAAAACAAGGGATTCGGCAGTGCGCATGCGCAAGTAGGGCGAAAGACATTTTCGACCCTACCTCGGCCCGGTTTTAACGGTTTGAAGCCAAATTTGGTATGTGACCACTTCGGAGCAAAACCTAGCTGGAGTACGAAGTCTGCAGACCGGGGGGTGAAAAGCGGGGGGGGGGGAAATTGGTCGCCTGTCATCTCGTTTTTAGACAACAAGAAACCACGTGACTTTCATGCTCTGACCATTCGCGTTTGCAGACTTGTAGACCGTCGACCAAACAAGTAGTGTACCAAGTTTGACAGTTATCCGAAAAAAGACAACAAAGAAATTTCCCAGTCAATGATGTGACAGTGCACACATGTAGAAGTGATATGAAGTCTTACAGGACAACTCTAAAGAACGCTCCAAAGAGTGTAAAGTTTTTTGGACTAATCTTGATTGCAGGCCAAGAGCAACTCTGCTCTCGGCCAATTCCAAAAACTAGCTCCCCCTTTGGTTTGGACAGGAATTACAGGGCCTGAAACCAGTGATAACTATGAAGGTGAACGCATGTTTGCAACAGCAACGACTGCGACAACGAAAGAACGATTAAGACCCTTCATATAGCATGGACCTTGTCCTGACATTGTGGTGAAGTAACTATGGAAGCAACAAACACCGCGAAATGATTAGACAACCACACACATTAATCACACAGTGCCCACATCTCGGTTAAGCGTAATCCACAGCAACTAGGAAGGAAAACGTTATTTTGTCCTGCTGGCTGATGTAGTGAGAAGCTAATTATTATTAGTACCCGTTGACAAAAAAAATGATAAAAATGATAAACATTTATGTGGCTGGTTGCTTTGTACGTTTTGGAAGCAATTCCAATGTGGAATATTTTCCCTGTGGT